CGGGCCCTAGCTTTCCCCTGGCTAGCTCCTGTTCCTTGTAGGGCAATATTGGAAACTAAATGGTAAAGCCTCAGCCAAGCTGCTCAGAACAGGATAATCCTGCTAGAAGGGCAGTGCTACACACAAGGGTATGGCACCCCTCCCTCCTGGTCGCTTTCTTTACACCTGCTGAAAGAAGACCTCGTGAGACACTTTGGGTATCTCTGCTCCCTGGGAGGACGCAGGGGCCTTGAGAAGAGAAGGAAAATAAAGGGGAGAGTTGGAGAGAAGGAATATATAGAAGAAATGGGGGGGAAAAAACCCAACCCTTGTTCAAAATGGTACAAACCCTTGTGCTGATGGCATGAGCAATAGAGATGCTTCCTTCAGGAGGCAGGTTTTTAACTACGTCTTGAGTTTCTTGCATGCTTTTTGACGTATCTGCTGCTGTCCAGTATCGAAGACAGGACACTGAACTAGGCGGCCTGACCCGAGTGTGGCATTTCTTTTGTCTTTTGTAGATACTGCTGCTGGGATGTGAAGAATCGTGTATTCAGAGACAGTTAAAATACTGCAGTGTATGATTTCTTTTTCCCCATTCATCTGACTTGTAGCTGCACCGGTGCTACACTTCAGACCCATAAATGCACAGGAAATGCAGCTCTTACCACCATAGATGCTTTTAGATTTCAGCACACTCTCGCAGGCTCTGAGGTGTTAATGCTCCATAAATGTGTATGTTATGAATTGTGGGACCATCTTTAGCTTGGGCAGCATAGAAAAGACTGGAAGCAGAGGTAGTGTGGCACAGGAATCCATTGGACATGACTGGATATGCACCATTCGCTAAGCACTGCGTGGTCTCTGAATGTTGCTTCTGAGAATAGGATGTTTTCGCTAGTCATTATAAAATGAAGTGGCTAAAGAGTACCTAATTTTTAGCTAGTTTTAAAGATGGGCAGCTTCTTCCTCTTTGTTACACCTTTCTGCTTGTGGTGTTAAAGACTCCCTCTACATGAAGGCAAGGAGTCAGAGCTCTGAGCATCCTTCTCACTACCCATCTCCTCTCTCCCTGTCCCTTCTCAGACCTTTTTCCTCTCTGAATGGGTGCTGAGATGTGTGGGATAGAAGTACTAGAGTAGGAATCCCACCCCATCTCTTCTAAGGTTTACCAATTCATACTTGCTACATACCTTCTACCTGTTAGCTTCATCTGCCTGTTTATTCCATTCTTGAAATGCTTCTTGTGCTTCAAAATTTTGCAAGCTAATTTTTGACAGCTTGCTGCAACATCTGTGCAGTCCAAGTATGATACTGATTATACAGACTGCACATCTGGGATTGGAAGTATTTTTTTAACTCTGGTCTCTTACTTCCCAAACTTCTTGTAAGTTTTATGGGTTGGGCATTGGTGATATTTTTCATCCTCTTTCGCTTTTTCACAAATCACATGTACTATCAGCAATTAAAATATCAAAAGACTGTTAGCCATTTTTCCTCCTGAAGCTTTGCTGACAGTATACATAGCTGGCTGTTACTCCTGATCGAAGCTCACCTGCATCAAAAGGGATGCTGAAGATGGCTTAGCTACGCCTTCAAGCATCCCCTGGGTTTTCATTTAGTTGCATTTTCTAACCCAGCACCTTTTTGATAAGAAGGAACCTTAATGTAGGGTCCATCCAGTGCCTTCCTGAGCTATCAAATACAGAAACTTTAGGGATTAGGGTAGGGTTTTGCTCTCGCTATCTCAACCCTTCCCATATTTGAGAAAATGGCTACTGAATTCATAATGCTGCAGATCTTCTGGCTCCCTCCAAACTACACTGCAGATATTCCTTGGGAGTGCTTGCAGTGGTTTTCCCAGTCCAGAGCTAGGGACTGTCTATTTGGACTCCTGCAGTAGGACGGACTTTCATTTTCTTCTGTCTAAGCATGCAAGAATTGCCCTACACTTTGTCTCCCGTGTTCTTGAATGAACATTGGCAAAGACTTACAGCTTTGAATAAGACATTTGCAACTAAAAATATATGAAGTCAGGAATTTTTATACTGGAAAAGATGTTTCTTATTAAAATGTAAGCTGAGTTAGCTAATTGCTGTAGCCGATGACTTGAGCAATAACCAGATCGGAATGTTTTTGATCTGAATAGTTACCGTATTAATGCTTTTGATTGCCGCTACTGACGTGTTGCTGCAGATGTGATGGGAAGAGGTGCGTAATACCAGTTATGGCCATTGAAGATACTTCAATAAATGTCTTGTCTAAAACTTTACACCAGAAAGAAGGTAAGTTTACCAAAAATAATGAGATAGAATAAAAACTGGAACTTGTATGAGAAGCTTTAGCATGAATCTAAATCTTTATTCAACTGTTGCTTTTACTTACTTGCTTGCTTTTGTATGTAGAAAAATTTGAAGTATCTAAATTACTTCTGTTGTTTGTGTGGGGGGCTTTTTTTGTTTGTTTTTAAACCAATTATTTTTAAAACCAATTATTTTCTAAACGGTAGATTTCACTCAACTTACAGCAGGTACAAAAAGGAAAACGCCCACAGCTCTCAAACTTCTTTGCTGTTACCTAAGCAGCATTTAAGGTAAGGCAGGTACTATCAGTTGTCACTATTTCGAACTTATTTCTCTTGCATGTAGTTTCCTGATAATGTTATGTGGTAGGGTGTCAGGAAGGGTGTGCTTGCAAGCTTTTGTCCTGTTGAAACATAACGTAAGTAAATCAGTTATTGTCCACTCAAGACATTGTTTTGCCATGTCCTAAATCGTGTGCAGGACACTTCCATGGGCCGTCCGAAGAAATGAGTCTCGAAAATCCGTTTTGAGATAGGTGACAGAGAAGCCTTAGGTGAGGTAGGTTTTTTTTTCACCAGTGTCTTTAGTTTCTATTATAGTTAAATATCCTATAGTAGTCTCGTTTGCTTATCTGCTAAGCTTAGGAGCTGGTGTGTATAAAGAGGTGCATCATATGGAATTTTTACTGATTGCTAAACCGTAGAGTTTTAACAGCCTCCTCTCTTCTCAATCCTGCTTCGTTCCTCATGCATGTGCGAACTGCTTGTGAGTACAGCTATGCTTACATACAGAGCTCTTATACTGATTGAAATCATGGCATTGAGCTGAAGGTAAAAGAGGGTCAGAGATGTTATTTTTAATTAACACAACTATAAGCTAATGATAAGCCAGTCACTAGTACAAAAAGAATCATTAATGTGAAGCAAATTTAACTTGCGGTGCGGTGTTTTGGCAACAAGAGGTGTGTTTTGGAATGCAGATTTTTACTCTATTGCTGTCACAGACTTGAAAGCAAAGGACTCAGTTGAGAAGGAAAATGTAGGAAGTTTAAAGTGATTGCAATAATACCATTTTCTTATGTATCAGAGTCTGCACTTTCGGTGGCCATCAAGAACTGCTAGGCCGTGACTGTTCCGGAGTAAGCACAGATCTTGCACAGCTGCACTGCTCTGCTGACTGCGGGAGAGGTGCGTATTATACCAGCTGAGGATCTGTCTTCAGATACCGTGAGTATCGTCTACAGAATGTGATCTGAGATGCTAAAACTTCGACTACAAGCCCAAATAAAATGCATGTGCTTTACCTTCTGTGAACTGTAAACTGCCATGTGTAGGTCTCATGCTACCGTATTGGTTTGATGAAATGTAAGTACTCGTGTGTTCCTCCCATCAGAGGCGATGTAACCAACCTGTCAAGAATAAGGCACCTAAGAGGCTTGATCTGCAGTCCACAGCTTTTGCATCTGTTTTTGCCCACAGGATTGTGAACTTTCCAATAACTAAGCCTCTCATTTTCAGAAGACCGGGCAGTGCAGAACATGGCCTCCTTAGGACGTGCCTGGGGCAGACTCTCGCAGGGATCCTGTCTGGCATTCAATGCAATCTGCAGCTTGTCACTCAGTACAGATTGTTTGGCCCATACGATGCAGGCAAGAGCTTACACATCTGAGTCTCCAGCTTCAATACAGTGTGGTGTTGGCTCACAGCAAGTGAACTGCATAAGGGTGACAGCTTCTTTGCCATGGACAGAGTATATATGCTGCAATAACAAAGCAATGCTCAGTTCTTACTTAAATTAGGAATGCAGCCACAAATCTGGATCTCCTTAGCATCAGGCAATGCATAGTGAAAGAAAAGATAGATTTTTATGGAAAAACAGTGTCACTAAAAAGTAACTATTCTGCTTCATCAGCTGGGAATGGAGCTGGACTGCGAGTGCTGAGAAGTCCCCAGTGCATCCCGAATGCCACTGGCAGCGGTGATGCCAGAGAGTGGGCAGACAAAAATAATTTATGGGACTGTCCCTGAAGAGAAAACAAGGCAGTACTTATCTACCTGTGCAAGCAGCAGCTATCCTGCTGCTGAGATGGAGCCTTTACAGCTTATGTGATTTGTGTGGGTGCACGTATGATGTACAAAATACAGTCCTGTGTGCAGCAGATGGGGTTTTACATCTATTGCATCTCTTGTGATTTCCAGATCATACATGGTTGTGTATGGGTTAATTTTTTAAAGTAAATTACCTACCAGCTCAGACTGAGATCTAATGTAAACTGTGAAATTGCTAGTAACAAAGGTTCAGTAGGTTAACTTTCCTCCTTGGTGACATCTTTACAACCTAACGCTTGAACACTGTTCTTTAACAGGGTGTAGGTAGCTGTGTAATTGGAAGTTTCTGCTGATGACATGAAGGGAGGCATCTAGTTCAGTGCCCCTTTCTTTAACCCAGCAATGCCAGTGCAGCTGATAGAAGTGGAAAAGGAAGGCATGAAAGGTAGCAGACAGCCTTTAAATACCCCACGGAAGCAGATTTGGAGAGAAAGGAGCCAGACTGCAATCACTGCAGCACCCGTTAACTTCAAGAGCACCCTGACTACTCCTGGGCTCCCCTGGTTACCCCCAAAGAAGAGTTTTGCCTATCGTTACAAAAGAAGAAAAGGGAAAATGCCACTTTGAACCTCAGAACAGTTATGTTGCATAAGAATTATTGATTGGCTGCTTTATTTATTGTGAAATGTTCAAGATACTATAAAATAATTCCTAGTCACTAGAATAATTACAGCTGGCCTTGCAAAGTGCCGCATCTGTTGGCGCTCTGGTTTAATTTTCGTTGTAAGACATCTTGTCTCGTACTGCAGGATACGGCTTCTCTAACGCCGACAAGAGCAACAGTGCTTGTGAGGCTTTGCTGGGGCCTGTGGCTGAGCTGCCGTTCTTGGAGTTGGAGGTATAAGCAGAGAAATAGTTCATCCTGTAAAGCTCTGCTTGGCTCTTACAGCAGCCAAGCTTGCTCATCAGCAGAAAGAAATCCCTTCGAAATGCTTTGGTGAAAATTGCGTAGAGAAATGGGTTTGCACAGGAGTTGACGGGGTAAAATAAAACCAGCAAAATCTTGGAGTTTGTCACTGTGATGAGAGGTACTTTAAAGGCAGCGGATATGGCAAAAAAGGAGATGGGGGCCATGCAGGTAAAATCCGTGAAGATCAGTATCGCCATTCTCTTTGCAACCTTGGTATCTTTATTGGCAGCTACCAGCTCTGGATTCTGAACAGCTATGTAAATCTTAATGTAGCAAGCACAGATGACAATGAAGGCGACAACATTTAGCACTAAGATCAGCAGTATGTAGGCTTGGGAAAGACCCGTTTCAATATCCATGGGTAAACAAATGCTGACCTTCATGTAACTGCTGACCCCTAAGAGAGGCAGCACTGCTATTAAAACAGAGAACACCCAGCCACCAAGCATGATCGGCACAGCATGCCTCAGTCGTAGCTTTCGATCCAGCTGCATGGCGTAGGTGATTGTATGCCACCTTTCTATCGTGATCACCGTTAGCGTGTACACTGAGAGCTCGCTTGCAAACACAGTGAAAAAGCCGGCAGTACTGCAGCCGCTGCCTGTTTGCCAGTCTATTGCGTGGTTGTAGTACTGACCGCTTGTCTGGGCGTCAACAGAAGCAATGAGCAGCAGATAAAGTCCCATGCAAAAATCAGCAAAGGAGAGGTTGCACATGAGGAAGCGAGGAACAGTGAGCTTGTAATGGCTCGTTATGAGAACGAGGAGTACAGTGAAATTGCCAGCAATGGCAAGGATGTTTATAAACCAGATTAGGACTCTGAGAAAGCTGTATCCCAGGATGTCTTCGCAGGGATTAAATGCATCTGGTTCTGGAGTGCACGTGAGTATTTTAGGCTGACAAAAGTCATACTCAAAGTCGAAGCCGGTCATTTCGCTGTCATCGAAAATGGCTGAGTAGCTGTAAGGGGAGGTTTCTTCATCTGTTGCAAACGGGTACATGTTCTTTTCTGCTGACCACAGTGATGTGTTGTAAGAGTCATCTCTGTAACTATTAAAAAAAACAACCCCCCACAAATAGAAGTGAACTATTTGTTACGTGCTGCTTGCGCTCTTTTGTAAAATACAACAGGTAACAGTTCTTTTAAAACAGTTACTTCCTACATGTGCTGCTACAGGCCGTTTACATAAAATGAAGCCTTGTAAGGATGCCTTTTGTTTGGGGAGCAGCAGAGGTCATAGTCACATCCACGGGAATGCTTTCTTACACAACTTATTTCTAAGTACTTTATCTTGATTGCTTTGTAAGCAAGCCATCTTTCTCATGCTGCCAGTAGACTGCAGTTCAAACTATAGTAACACTCAAATTGATGGATTATAGGTTTGATGCATATAGGTTTATCAGACAGTTATAGAAGCCAAACTAAAATAACCTAAGGATTTTAACTGTGCACCCTTACCTCCCTTAGGAAATGCACTTACCGAACAAAGTCCTGAGACGACGTATGACTTGGGAAGTGCTGAGGAATTTGATGTTCGCAGTATTACAAAGCGAGGAGTAGAAGTGCATGGTTAACTAGATAATGTTGATGGCTAGAATATTTTAAGTTTAGACTGGACCCAATGCCTAATTATAAAGTTTTTAGGTGTTTAAAATAGACCTCTTTAATCTGTAGGTCATCAATAGTGTGGGGATAAGCCTACCAAAGAAGAAACATTTTAAAAGCAAACAC